AACAGAAGGTATCTTCCAATTAGAATGAAACACCATGCAGGTTTTGTAGATGTTCATCTATAAAAACTTGTCAGAGGAACACAGGAGGGGTGGTGCTTTCCCTATCTTAACACCTTCTTAACCACTAGACCAAACTGGCTACAAGTATTTTTGGGCTGGTTTTTCTTATGGTGGGGGTCCTTGATGCTCTCTGATCTTGGTTGTTTTCTTGCAGATGTTTCATTAGCCAAACTAGGTAACATCAATGTGTACTGATATTACCTGATTTGGGTAATGAAATGTCTGCAAGAAAACAAGCAGCCTAGAGAGTACCAAGAACCCCTCATTTCAACCCTGAGCTACAAATATTCTTTATTTTCTTATGGTATCAGAAAAGAAATACATCCATTATACTATCTATCTACACTATATTATTCAAATCTACTGATTACGTTGTTTTATAAATTTTATTGAACATTGATTAGTATGTGGTGTCTATTTTTAATCTATTCAGGACAAAAAAAACCTCTAGTATATAACTTAACATCCAATGTGGTTAATATAAGTAATGGCTTCTCTCTCCCATATATACAATTGGAATATTAATTACATCACTTAAATCTTTCAACGAGATCTTGCCACAATTAGCTCTAGCTATATCACAAGCCAAAGATGTAACAGACTAACAATGACTTCTTTGCTCATAATGTGGAAAAGCAGGGAAACATAGTTCAGTGTTTATATGCAGAAGGCCATATGTTCAGTTGCTTTGCAGTTAGAGAGATAAATAAGTAAAGCCTCTACTTAAGAATTTAGTAAACCATAGTCAGAATAGACAACACTGGGCCAGAGGGGCCATCTGGATAAAAGCAGTTGGTGGGCTTCCATTTTTCAAACTACGGTTCACTAATGTGCGCACGACGCTTCTACGCATGCACAGAAGTGTCCAGGTTGATGCGTGGAGCCTCCTGTCGCGGCCACTACTGGTTCTCCCAATCCGGCCCAATCCAGGAGCAACCAACATCTGGATAAAACTATTTACCTGCTTCATAGTAATGGTTCCCCAGCCTATTTAACAGTTAATGCACCTAAAGTGTCTGGTTCACATTCTTCTTACACACTAGAAATAGGTGTAAAATGACAAAGTTCTGTAAAAAAAAATGTTACAGTATTTTTTGGAGTATAAGACACACCTTTTTCCTCAAAAAAGAGGCTGAAAATCTGGGTGCATCTTATACAGAATTTTTTGCTTCCTGAAATCTCCTTCACCAAAATGATCGTGTATAGCTTGTAGGAGGCTTTCAGAGAGCTCCTGGGGGTTGAGGAGAGCGGAAATGAGCAAAAAATGGGCTGTTTTTTTGCTTGATTTTGCCCCCCCCCCCAGCACCCAGGAGCACTCTATAAATTTCCTAACACTCTTTTTTTGACAAAAAATGCACCTGTTTTCGCAAAAAATGGGCCATTTTTTGTTCATTCTCCCCCCCCCCCCAGGAACACCCTACAAGCCTTCTAAGGGCTATTCATGTCCTTTTTTTTTTTGGAAAAAAAAACCCAGTCTTTTTTCACAAAAAATGGGCCATTTTTGGGAAGTTTACAGAGTTGAAAACCTGTTTTTTAAAAAATTGCCTCTTCAAAGCCTTGCTGCATCTTATATTCCAGTGCGTCTTATACTCCAAAAATATGGTATTTTAATTAGGGATCAGTTTATAGCCCAGACCTGCCACAGGGGTGGTCATTTCAGATAGAAATATATAGTAGAAAGCTCTTTGCATAACATTGCTTTGGAAGTTTTCAAACACTGCATCAAAATCTCTGCAATAGCAATAAAGGATCATCTAAAGAAAAGAAGTTAATGACTCTTGTGGACTATAGAAGAGTAATGGATTAAACAGTGTTCATTGTTTCAATCACCAAGAAAAGAATTGGCACTCCACTTCTGTTTAACCCTTTTGCAGTGCAACATTCTTGGCATACAAAAACCCCAAAACCAACCACCCAGTTTTTCAAGCACAAAAACCTACTTATACTATCAAGATCTTGCTCCTTTTTAAGCAATCCTATATGTAGATATCCTAAATCTTTAGGACTTTTTATGCTCCATGTATAAAGGAAGGAATCAGTTTGTTTGAACATTTGTATAAATCTCAACATGTTCATTTCGCCCCACTTTAGTACACAGTTACTTAGCTCAGTAAAGGCCTTAAACCCATTCTTCACTCTTATTAGCTGCAGCTGCAAAGGCATTGGCTGAAATGTTCTGTTTCTGCCAAATATTCCAGACCAGTTCATGTGTATCTGATTGCTTGCACCACCCTTTTCTTTGCTTATATTCTGATACTGAAAGCAATTATCTTCTGGCAGACAGCAATGAGCATAGGGCAAAGCTATTTCTGGAAATATACAGCAAACTGATTAACAAGAACATTTGCAAATTGGTAAAATTTTATAAAGGATATTAGAATAAAATAATTCAAAAGTAAGGATAGTGTGAATCAACTGACATCCACAAACTACATTATAGCTTCCTTCTGGAAATGACACTTTAAGCAGCATTCGTCTATCACAGATTGTTTTTATGTGCTTCTATGCTTCCAGGAGACAGACATTTTATAGTCCATTCCACTGACCTATGAATTCCATGACAACTTCATCAGAATGTTCAGGCTTATTGAAAGAGGCAAGCAACCAACCCATTAAAAACCCAGCACAAAATTTTGATACTCAGTTATTCAGCTATTTTGTAACATTTCAAGGATAGTTGAAAACACTGGTTTATATCCATGAATCAGCATTATCCCTAAATCCACAAAATGCTAGATTTTTCAAAGCTGTAGCAATTTTAGCAGGTTGCAGAAAAAAACAATTCAAGGTAAGGATAGTCTGAAATTTTTCAACCCTGGAGGAGGAGTGGAGGGAATCAGGCATAATCAGGGTCTATTCTTTGAGGAGTTATGCCGTGGCTCAGTGGCTACGATGATGAGCTTGTCGATCAGAAAAGTTGGCAGTTTAGCGGTTCGAATCCCTAGGGCCATGTAATGGAGTGACCTCCCATTACTTGTCCCAGCTTCTGCCAACCTAGCAGTTTTAAAGCATGTAAAAATGCAAGTAGAAAAATAGGAACCACTTTTGGTGGGAAGGTAACAGTGTTCCGTGCGCCTTTGGCATTAGTCATGCCGGCCACATGACCACGGAGATGTCTTCGGCTATGAAACAGAGATGAGCCGAGGTGGCGCAATGGTTAAATGCAGCACTGCAGGCTACTGCTAGATCAGCAGTTCAGCGGTTCAAATCTCACCGGCTCAGGGTTGACTCAGCCTTCCATCCTTCCGAGGTGGGTAAAATGAGGACCCAGATTGTTGGGGGCAATATGCTGACTCTCTGTAAACCGCTTAGAGAGGGCTGAAAGCCCTATAAAGCGGTATATAAGTCTACTGCTATTGCTATTGCTATGAGTCGGGAATGACTAGCACATATATGCGAGGGGAACCTTTTACCTTTACCTTATTCTTTGAAACACCTACCTGCCTTGGAGTACTGTTTGCTATGGGAGTATTATTTGGAAACCTGACACCAATACTTTTACTTTACGTTAGGCCAAAAAATCCACTACCCATCCTTGTAAGAATTCAAAGCTTGTTGAAAAGATAATTGTATTTGTCTTACTTACTAGCAAGCTAATTCATAAATAAGCTGAGCTACTTGTTGTGGCCCAGCAGGAGCCGTTGGAGCTGTCACCAGACTCTGACAGCGAGGGGTCCTATGAACCGGCCCTGGAGGATGTGGAGGACTGTGGACAGGGTTCCGACTCCGAGCAGGGCGCAGAGAGATTGGTTGGCCACCAGGTGGCGCCTGAGCCTTGGATCAGTGGGGAGGAGACAAGAGAGAGTGATCCAGAAACCAACAGTGAGTTGTTCCGGGATGCACGCCATCGAAGGGCTACTCGGCGTCAAGAACAACTACGTAATTACAGGAGGCAATTACACTCAGCTGATGGTCATTAAGCTCCTCTCCAGACTATAAATGAGACTGCTTGTGCCACGCCCTTCTTGCAGAAGTCAACACTTGGACTAAAGAGAAACGAACTTGGCAGGCTGGATTGCTGCCAGAGTTTGTTTGCTTTGTTGCCAAGGTTTGTTTGCATTGCTGCCTAGGTCCTTATCTGTTTGTTTATTTGGCTTTCAGCCACCGAGAGTCTGGTCTTGTTATTAAAGGACATTCCATTTTACACTTGTCTCGGCTTTCGTTACTGAACGGAGGAGGGGCCAGAACAGATACTTATGCCCAACCTGGTAAATAGTATCATTAATTCCTAAATAAAGGCAATAATGGCAAACTTAAGTTTTGTTACATAGATTATGGGAAGAGAAAAATGATTGCTTTACCCAAATATTTCTAGCCTACATACTGAGTTTTTTCTCAAGCTGACTAATTAGGGCAGTTCATTATCAAGAAGAGATAAATTTCCAAAAATCTCCCATGAAAAATCAGGTTGGAAGCATTGTCACACAGCTTATTTTAGAATAAAGGCAAATCTGTAACAAAACCATTTTAGAACATTTATACTGCTTTGTTAGGAGTTGAAAAAAAATGACATATTTCCCAAAATAAAATGGAAAAAGATCAGAAATTCAGGATCAAAGAGAATCACTGGGAGATGAATGGTGGCTGGTCATTTTATTTTTTACCATTTTAATGCTTACTGGGGCGGTTTTCACAGGAAAACTGAGAACATTTGTACAGTTTGGATTTTAATTAGACCTGGAGAAGAATTTTTATGGCTTCTCAAAGTTGCCTTTGCTTTAAGACAATAATTGCCAGAATGAGCATTAGAAAACTTTTAAATCTTGTTTCCAGACTTGAGTCAAACAAACCAGTGACAACTCACCAGATAACCATTTTTTGAATGAGCGGATGGAACAATTCAGTTAAATTTATATGCTTTAATTACTTCAAATGAAATCCAGCAATATGCCTCATATGCAAAATATTTGCTGCTTTAAATAATTATCATTTTCTCTTACCTCTTTATTAGCTCTGTCTGCTTGTACTAAAGTTCCATTCAAGCATGGTTCTACGTAGTGGAGTTCTTCATTATACTGCAGAGAACAGAAGAGACATTTAACATAAACATCTGAAAAATATAATTTAAGATAAGGAGAGGAAACATGAAAAAAAAAAACACCTCTTAAGAATCTATTACTGAATTCATTGCATTTATTCACATACTTTAACTCAGGGCTATCAAACTAGTAGCCTGCTGGCCAGATGTGTCCTGTGCTGGCCATGCCCACATTTGGTTTAGGGAAGAGGAAAAAAGTTGCAATACGTCCTGTGATGCCATCGTGTTGAAGTGACTTTGACACCCCTGCTTTAAATGTACCACAGATAGCCATTCACTTACAACAGTTCATACAGTGACAGTGTAACGACATTGAAAAAACTGACCGGTTGTAACATCCCCTTGGTCATGTGATCAAAATTCAGACGCTTGGCAACTGGTTCATATTTATGACAGTTACAGTATTCCGGGATCACCTTTGGCAACTTTCTGACAAGCAAAGTCAATGGGGAAGCCAGATTCACTTAACAACTCTGTTACTAACTTAACAACTACAGTGATATGCTTAACAATTAGAGCAATTAAGGGTGTAAAATGGGGCAAAATTCACTTAACAGCTGTCCCAAAGCTGCTTTTTCAAGAGACAACTGGACTTTCTGGTTTCTCTTCGAAGGCTTTTCGCTTTTCATCCAATAAGCTTCATCGGCTCTTCATTCTGAAGAAGCTTCTTAGATGAGAAGCGAAATGTCTTCAAAATAAAACCAGAAAGTCCAGTTGCCTCTTGAAAAAAGCACCTTTTGGACAACCATGACCTGGATGACTGAGAATCTCCGTAGACATTCACTTAACAGCTGTCTCCCCTAACAACAGAAATTTAGGGGTCAATTGTGATCATAAGTTGAGGACTCCCTGTATTGTCAGTACAGCTTTAAACAAACATTTTGAAAGGGAACTGAATACTGAAATAAGTCAGAAACATGAAGTGCAGTAGGAACAGTTGAAAATCAGTACTGTAGTAGTTAAGCTGCTAAGATGAAATCCATCACCATCAAATGACTGTACTTACACAAATCCTCTTCCAATTCCTCCTACACTCATAAAACCTACTCCATTGGTGGGTTAGGGTCAAGGAAAAGGGTGTCAAATAATAAAAATAATCATGCCCAATCACTGTGACACCACAAACCATGTACAAAATAGGACCCTGGAGATGACATTTCCTTTTGCACCGAAAGCAGATCTCTTAGTGGGAAAACAGATCCAGTTCACCTGGATCTCTTATAATATGTAGGGCCAGCTAAATTTTCCTAAAAGTATTTTTGGGCTGCCTTAACTCTTGGTGAGTTGATGGCAACATATTTTTAAAGAAGTTGTCAATGCCTTTTTCCTAGGGCTGAAAGAGAGTGACTGGCTCAAAGGCAGGATTAAAACATGCAATCTCCTTCTTTCTGCACACAATTGCATACCAAGACAACTAGACATAAGAACAGTTTTCTCCTGAATGCCATCACTCTGCTAAACAAATAATTCCCTCACCAATGTCAAACCATTCACTAAGGCTGCATTACTATTACTATTA